AATACAGGGTGTCCGGTAACTACGGGGAAAAAATAAAGGGTTATATAGAGCAGGTCAAACGAGTGCTAGTACTTCATATAAACTTTTTACCTAGGTGCCATTGTTGAGGAGTTATTGTCACTCAAAGTAAGAAGTTGAAAAATGAATATTGCCCATAATTTCTAAAGGGTTACTTTGATTAAATTGAAATTTGGGGGATCAAAGCAACTCATTCAAATGTATCTTTGTACATTTAAAATTGAATCAAATATTTTTTATTATACAAGGACGGTCGAAATTATGTTCTAAGATTTATTAAAATTTATCTATATTTGACAGAGCTGTCAAATTTGACATTTCGCCCTCGCAGGCTGATAGCCCTGTTACTTTTCTATAAAAAAGGTATACTTCATGACTTAAAAAATGAACAGTTGTCAAGATAATGAAATTTTTGTATTTTGTGTATACCCACAACTGGGGACACAACGCAACAGAAAAAAGTTAAGAATGAAACATATGGATTAAAAGATGTTACTTCAGTAAATGCTCGATAAGTCCTCCATCTAGTTCAATACACTTCCTTATTCTTTTAAGATTATTTTGTTGCATGAAAATCCTCATTTAGTCATTCAAGGCAAACACCAGCAAAGATTCATAGTTAATGTATGGGCAGGAATAATTGGTAACCAATTAATAGGCCCCTTTTTCTTACCGGATAGATTAAACCTCGATATTTGAATTTTTTACAACACGATCTAAATCTACTTCTAGAAAATGTGCCATTGCAAACAAGACAGGAGATGTATTTCATGCATGATGAGGCACCGCCCCACTTCAGTCGTGAATTTAGAAATTACCTCTACGCAACATTTGGTGATAGGTGGATTGGATGAGGCGGATCACACTTATGGGCACCTAGGTCACCAGATCTTAACCCCCTTGACTTCTTCCTGTGGGATTACCTAAAATAATTGGTGTATTCAATTCCGGTTTATACAAGAGAAGATTTGATGGCAAGAATAGAACATCATTGTAACGAAATTAAACAGAATCCACAAATGCTATTTATAGTGCAACAAAATAATCTTAAAAGAATAAGGAAGTGCATTGAACTAGATGGAGAACATATTGAACATTTACTGAAGTAACATTTTTTAATCCATATGTTTCATTCTTAACTTTTTTCTGTTGCGTTGTGTCCCCGTTTGTGGCTATAACAAAATACAAAAATTTCATTATCTTGACAGCCGTTCATTTTTTCATAAGTCATGAAGTATACCTTTTTTATAGAAAAGTAACAAGGCTATCAGCCTGCGAGGGCTAAATGTTAAATTTGACAGCTCTGTCAAAGTTGCGTAAATTTTAGAACATAATTTCGACCGTCCTTGTATAATAAAAAATATTTTATTCAATTTTAAATGTACAAAGATGCATTTGGATGAGTTGCTTTGATCCCCCAAATTTCAAGTTAATCAAAGTAACCCTTTAGAAATTATGGGCAATATTCATTTTTCAACTTCTTACTTTGAGTGACAATAACTCCTCAACAATGGCACCTAGGTAAAAAGTTTATATGAAGTACTAGCACTATTTTGACCTGCTCTATATAACCCTTTATTTTTTCCCCGTATAGTTACCGGACACCCTATCGTGAATTATTTTAAAATTAATATTTGGGTCGCATTAGATGAAAGATTATTGATTTTTTGTTTGTTACGATTTAACTCAAAAACTACTCAACCAATTTTACCGAAAGCTACATCTCCTCGGAGTAACACAGGCTATTTTATATTTGCCCGTGCGAAGCCGGGGCGGGTTGCTAGTTTCTTTACAAATCCTTGTCTCCTTGCCTCATTTTAACGCGTCTTCAGAACGCGTATTTAGCTTTATGAATAAAGTGTGGAGAAAGGAGAGAAAGTCCCTGTTAATGAAAACCATAGAACCCGAACTAATGGTTAAGTTTAATTTTAAAATGATGCAATGAATTTTTCAATTATCTGAAAACCGAGACAGAAAAAAAATTTGCAACTGGCGAAATCTAATGAAAAATATTTGCAATAATCTGTTAAGTATGTATGTACAATCAGGGCCGTTCCTGGGGTACTTTCCTCCCTGGTGCATAGAAAAATTGGCCGCCCCTACCCCGTAGTAGGTATGTATCTATCATATCATTATGACATTATTAATATCAGGGATTAGAGATGACTATGATGTAGGTGTGTTATTAGAAATACAGATCGATTTATTTTTGTACTAACAAACTTTAATATTCTACTGTAAAATATAATCTAAAAAGTCATAACAAAAATAATAATCAAAAGTTCTAAAACTAATATGGTAACTCATTGGAAAACAGGAACTTCGTATTACGACTAGTATGAGAGGTATTCACAAAATATAGAATATAAAAATTTTGAGCTGTCTAAACGTCGTAAATCTGACGTGTTTAGTAATTAGGCGTTCATTTGTTCGTAAACGTTTAAGAAAGACATTTTTAAAACATCCGTGATTTTACATTTTTTAAAAACTAATGCAAAAAATTAAAGGGTCAAAAGAATTTTCGAAATTTTTCCGTGATTTTTGACAGACTGTATTAGGTAAAAAATAGTCGTATCAGGAATCAAAAAATTGCATTTTGATGCTCCAAGATTCTAGTTTTTAAATCTTTCGGTCGAAATTTTTTAGGTGCTACGGTTGTCATTCGCGACAAAAAAATTTTGCAAATTATCTTTTTTTTTCCAGTCCACGGACTTGGAAATTTTTTTTCAGCTTAGCCATTGTATGGACCAGATAGCTAGTTTATTCAGCTTCAATTTCCTTTTTTTTTTTAAATTTCGATACGACCATTTTTCATCGAAATATCGGACTTTTAATGGAAAAGGATAATTTTGTTTTCAATCATCGATATCTCGGCGACAAATGCTCGTACAGAGAATTGAAGGGCAGTTTCGAAAACTGGAATAAATTTCCTATATAAACATTAGGAAAAAACATTTTTTATCTTTTACACGAATTTTAAAAAACAGAAAAAAAGGGTAATTTATGGTTTTTTTAGAAAATTGACGGCTAAATTAGAATTAAACATGACTTTTACAGTTCGATATAACCAGAAGAACCCTGTGAAGTTTCATCTCAATTTAGCGACCCGTTTGTTTGTTTTAAATAGTCAAACTTAAACTTAAAAAAATTAAATTGTCACGTTTTTTGAGCTTAAACACTTTATAATATGATTAAAATGGGAAAAGTTTTTTTGAGGTTTTTTCACATTTACCGCAAATAACGTTTAAATTGATGAAAAAAAAGAAAATTTGCAAAATTTTTTTATCACGCTATTTCTGAGAATTGCATGATAACCGTAGCTTCTAAAAAATTTCAACCGAAATATCTCAAAAACTAGAATCTTAAAGCTACAAAATGCCTTTTTTTAATTCCCGATACGACCATTTTTCACCTAAATACAGTCTGTCAAAAATCACGGAAAAATTTAGGAAATTCTTTTGACCCTTTAATTTTTTGCATTAATTTATGTAAAAACAGTATATTTAATACTACATTTTTTATAAGACGAAAATTAATATACATTTTATCTTTTGCAGTCTTTGCTGCTATTGTTTAAATATTTTTAATTAGGAATCCGGGGAAGACCAGGACAGAAAAGTTGAATTTTGGCCGCCCTTGTAGCTCGGCCGCCCTGGTGCCGGGGCACCACCAGCACACTGCCCAGGAACGGCCCTGTGTACAATATTAAACAATAAAGCAATATACTTTGTACATTAAGCCTTTAATTTAACTTCCCTTCGTGCTGACTCAAATGTCCCGCTTTTTAGTGTTGGAAACCTGACAGCCCTATATTAAATGACATTATCAATAACGAACGTTGCCATTAAAATACAATGGACATAAATAACTGTTATAGTCCAAAGTTATCCACGCAAAACATTAAATTATGTGCATATAAATTAAGTAAAACATGCACAAGTAGTATTTTTATCTTTATATAAATACAATGATCTATCATAAGCAATAATAGAAAAATTATTAATTTTTTATTTAACAAAAATTAAGATAAACTTACAAAAAATTGTTGGAGAGTCTTAGGTTCCATTCCAGGGATAGCTGATAGAGGTTCTTTTCGCAAATCTTGCAGAATGGTATATATTGGACCAATATTTAAATGAGCAACTAAAGAACTAGCTTGTTCTGATGTTAGATTATCGATTTGAGCATCTGCTTGTGCTTGAAGTCGCTCAAAAAAATCATCCATGTACTCAAACAAAGATAAACATATCTGAATATCATATATACAATTTAACATATATATTGACATATCCAAGGCAGGTAAGCGAGATGCTTGTTCATTAACAGATCTCAAAAGAGGTTCTATTACATACGGGGTAATCTGTAATGGAAAAATTGCTAAATATAGTTGAAATTAATCAACAGTTTATTTATATATATTCTACAAAAAAAGTTAAATAAAAAATTGTTGGTTTTTGAGTTACAGGCCTTCAAAAGTTGTCACAAATAAAACTAATTTAAAATTTGGACATTTATTTGGACTATTATGTCATTATTTCTTAAAGCTTTAGTCAAATCAATGTACTGGGTGGTAGATTTCTCCGGTTACCTCTCTTTTTTAGCAGTTAAAACTTTTACAGTGGTCATATTTTTTTTAAACGGGCAGCAACATTGGAAAATTCATTTTAATGAAAATAAAAATTGTCTCTTGAGAAAATCTCCTACAGAAAACTATTCTTGAGAAAAATGGCATTATTTGTAGGTCTGCATGTTTTGGTTTGCTTAGCAGTGTCACAGATTTAAAACTTTGAGTTCAGTAGGCGATGAAAACAAAATGTTAATTGCTATGGCTATCAGGTAATGTCATTATTGTCATTTACTCTAAGTGACAGCGTTTTGTTATTTATTTTAATATTAATTGATTTTTCTAGATTTTTTAATTTTTTCCATTAGTTTATTTAGGAGGAAGTTTTTTATTAAACACATAATATTCATTCAATGAGCTTGTCCACATGCATTTAATATTAGGAGGGTGTAGAATAAACTGTCGAGCTGCTACGCTCTTGTACAGTGAAAGATTCCCCAATCATTGATCATACGTTCGCTTCGATTAACAGAAGATTACGAGACTATGATTCTTGCTGCTGTAAAGGCCAGTCGTTCTCATCAGTTGCCACCTGAAGTAGAAGAAGAAATTCTTAATGTTGGAGAAAACTACCTCCCAGTATATCGATTTGACTAAGGCTTTAAGAAATAATATGCCATAATAGTCCAAATAAATGTGCCAGATTTTAACGCGATTGGTAAAAGGTTATGAAGTTAGTAATTAAATTAATTTTATTTTTGACAACTTTGAAGGCCTGTAACTCAAAAACCAACAATTTTTTGAACTTTTTTTCGTAGATCGTATTTATTTATCGTCGCGAATATGCAGTTAAACCTTGTCGGTGAAATTTGCGGATACCCTGTATATCCAACAAGGGTATGGACTTTCATACTGGCCGACAAGTCACACTAATGGCTCCATGGTTTGCATAGATCCTAAACCTCAAACTGATATAAATAATTTTGTGTTAGTTAAGTTTAATTTATTGTAACATTTTTGAGACATAAAGGTGGTCTGAGATCCGGAATCAAGCAAAGCTCTACATATATGAAAGTTTCCCCATTTATCAGCAATTACCGTAGACTCCGGTATTTCAAGAAAATTATTGTGCAGCTGCTGAAGGCTGTATACGTATGGGAGTTGTGCCACTAGATGTGAAAGGTTCACCTTGTATGTATATATCACCCTGTATATGGGTGTCTGATAAATGACTACTCGTGCGTATCATCCTTTACAGAAGCACTTTGTTTAGTATTATCCTGCCTGTAAATATTATTCAGAGCCCCACACTGTATAGAATCATTCTATTAGTTGAATTTCTATTTTTAAAATGCAATAAGGAATGATGACATTTGTTATGAATTTTACATGATGATCTTGATTTACAAAAAGATAATTGTGTGCAACAAGTTTAAGCAGTTTTTAACAAAACGATATCTCTCATCCACTATTTTCCATTGCTTGACAATGATGCTCTACAAATTTAAAAGATTCATAAGTAAGAACTTCACTATTACTTAAAGATAATTCATAGACTGTGGCGGTTTCATTGTCTAGTTTTTGTTTGTTAAGTAGTTTGTTTTATAGTTTTAACAATACTACTAGATGGCGTTGCAGCCACTATAATATTATAAGATTTTCTGTTAGTTCTGTTTTTGGATAATCAATGGTTATTTTGTATGGTCGTGTTCAGTCATCTAAAAATATGACAGCAAACAGTTTCGTATCAAAGTAAAGTTGTTGTTCAAAGTTTTATAAAAAAATAAAGTCATTTTGTATACTCCACAAGTTTTAATGCAACAGGTTATGGGCCCCAGAAGCCCCAGAAAGTGAAAAAGTAAACGTTAGTCGTTTTGTATGCTGGAATCAGTGTGTCTTACTCCAGGCATAAACAGAAAGTAGAAAACTCGTTGTTCGTCACTTGTTCGTGAGAAGTTACAAAATGGCCGAGAAAATTGATATTGGAATAATCAACAAGTTTAACGGTACAAACTATCCTCAGTGGAAGTTTCAAATAAAATGTGCATTGAAAGCAAAAGGTATCTACAATGTAGTTGATGGTAGTTATCTAAAACCAGATAGTGGTCAAGAATTAAATACATGGACAAAAAATGACGCACAGGCTATGTTTGTCATAACTGCTGCTATGGATTTGAACCAGATTACACTGATCGAGAATTGTGAGTCATCTCAAGAAATTATTGCAAAGTTGGACTCTATTTATCAGCAGAAAACAGAAACAAATAAAATGTTAGTACATGAACGTTTTACGCTGTATAAAATGGACCCAAAAGAAAGTGTCGCGCAACATGTTGCCAAGGAGGAAAATTTGGCCAAACAAATTCGTGAGGCAGGTGAAACGATAAGTGATGCGATGATAATGACCAAAATACTGAATACTCTTCCTCAGAAATTCAGAAACATACGTCAAGCATGGTTGTCACTTGATGAAAGTAAGCAGAATATTGCCAATCTCACAGCTCGTCTGATAGATGAAGAAGCAAGTTTGACAGCTGTTGAAGAAACTGAAATCAGTAAGTTTCAAATCGAACAAGAAACCGAGAAGTGATAGTACAAGTTCTAAAGGATCAAAAGTATCTAGCGTAATATGTTACAGTTGCAGAAAAAGAGGTCATATTGCGAAAAATTGTTTCAAGAACTTGGCAAAAAGAGAGGATGAGAAGACAAACAAAAACGAAGGTAACATCAAGACAAATCTACGTGACAGTGCTCTCAGTACATCAAATAATGAAACAGCTTTTAATGTCAGTGACCAAGCAAATTTAGAGTATGATACTGAAACTTGGACAATGGACAGTGGTGCATCTGCTCACATGTGTTATCGTCGCGATTTCTTTTCAACACTTGATGAAGATTGTGAGTCATCAGTGGTGCTAGGAAACAATGAATCCTTACCCGTCAAAGGAAAAGGTACAATAAAAATACAGAAGTTATTAAATGGAAAGTGGATAGATTCAACCATTAATAATGTATTGTACATACCCAAGTTAAAAAGAAATTTATTTTCCGAAGGTGTACTAGCAAAGAAAGGTATGAAAATTGTGAAAGAAAAAGAATATGTCAGAATATACTGTAATGACCAGCTATGTGCAATAGGCATACAAGGTGCAAACAATCTGTATCAAATGTTGTTTCGTACAGTATTGTGTCATGCCAATATTACGGCACCTGGAAGCTTAAAACTCTGACACAACAGACTTGGACACATAAACATTAGTTCGCTGTGTAAAATGGTTTCGAAAGGACTAGTAAAAGGAGTTAACCTAAATGAGAAGGAAAATTTCTTCTGCGAAGCATGCTGTTATGGTAAGCAACAGAAAATACCATTTCAAGAAAAAGGTCACTCCAAGATGAAACCTGGTGAACGAATTTTTAGTGATGTTTGTGGACCTATGGCTATACCTTCAGTACAAGGTGCAAAATACTTTGTGACTTTTAAAGATGAAAACACTGGTTATCGTGTGGCGTATTTTATCAAGCATAAATCAGATGTGCTAGACTGTTTCAAAGTATATAATGCTAAAATCAAGAATAAATTTAATCAAGCAATCAAGATTCTTCATGCAGATAATGGTACGGAGTATTTAACAGTGATTTTAAAAGATATTTGGAAGAAGAAGGCATCGAGTTTAAAAGTACTGCACCATACACTCCGCAGCAAAATGGCAGAGCGGAACGTGACAATCGCACTATTGTAGAAAGTGCCCGATCCATGCTGTATAATGCGAATGTGTCACGCCATCTATGGGCAGAAGCTGTAAATACTGCTATTTATTTATTAAATCGTACTCCTACAAGTCAGGCTCCGAATTCTACTCCTTACGAACTGTGGTGTGGACAAAAACCTTTTCTTCAACATGTTAAGGTTTTTGGATGTCAAGCTTTCATGCATGTGCCTGATGAAAAGAGAGCTAAACTAGAATCAAAAAGCAAAAGGCTTATGTTCGTTGGTTATGATAAAAATTCAACAAATTACAGATTGTATGACATAGAAACAAGAAAAATTGTAGTGTCAAGAAATGTTTTGTTTAACGAAAATGTTAGAGGTGTTGTTGACAAAACAATAAAAATTCCAGTTACAATAGAAAGTGATGTTGTCACAGAGTTTCCCGGAGAAGAAAGGAATGAAGGTATTATGGAACAGAATCTAGATGAAGATGAGAATACAGGAGAAGTGGAGAGAAATGTGCCAGAAATACAAGTTCCAGAATTAAGACCACAGAGAAATATCAAATTACCATCAAGATATAAAGAATTTGATTTAAATTTTGTGGAAACTGATGTTCCAAACACATACGAGGAAGCCATTCATGGAAAAGATGCAAAACAGTAGGAGAAAGCTATTGAAGAACTCACAGCTTTAAAAGAAAATGATACCTGGGAAATAATACCCTTACCTCCTCAAGAAAAGATAATTGATTCCAAGTGGGTATTTAGAGTAAAAAGGAATAAAGAAGGTTCTACTACACGTTACAAGGCACGTTTGTGTGCTAGAGGATTTAACCAAAGAAAAGACAGATTACCAAGAAATTTATTCACCTACAACAAGGTATGATTCAATTCGAGTGCCATTGGCAATTGCTGTGAAGAATAATATGAACATAATGCAATTTGACATCAAAACAGCCTTCCTGTATGGTGAGTTGCATGAAAACATTTATATGAAAATACCATAAGGTATAAACATTGATACCCAAAACTATGTTTGTAAGTTAAAGAAATCACTATACGGATTGAAACAATCACCTAGATGT